GCTCAGGTCATGACCTCATGGTCATTGAGCCCTGAGTTGGGCTCTGTGCTGAGCGTGGAGCCTGCTTGAGATTGTCTCTCTCTCTCTTTCTCTCTCTCTCTCTCTCTCTCTGCCCCTTCTCTGCTCTCTCTCTCAAAATAAATAAATAAACATTAAAAAATAAATATCCATTCCCACGCTTTTCTGTAACCTGTGTCTTCCCAGGAGCACAGGGTTTTTCACACCATTTGAGGCTGGAGGTCCTTGTGCCCCCGAACCCCAAACTTGAGGTTCATGTGGAGTTCTGAAATGGACACTCTCAGCATTTCCACCGTGACTTCGCTTTCTGGGTTGTGCAGCCCCATAGTGTTAAGAGTATGGACTACAGAGCATAGCTGCCCTGGTATGGATCTTGGCTCTGCTGTTTGCTCGCTTTGTGATCTTGGATAAGACACATAGCTTCTCTGTGCCTTAGGCATTTCATCTGTAAAATGGGGGGTAATGATAGTGGGGCATTTAATCCCAAAGGCATTTAGTTGGGATTAAATAAATTAATATCTATGTTATCTTCATAGCTCTTAAAGGCACTGCTAGTCCATGTTAAGGACATTATATAAAGATATAGGGCTTTTTTGCAGTTTGGTGGACAGGGCATTGAGGAAAAGGGCAAGTTAAGTCACACATACCTCCTAGTGCCCAGGAACATCACTGTATTACTGCATAGTTGCATAACTGTCCATTAAGGTCACCCTTGTTTTTTTTTCTGTATTAATTCAAGATTTCCATCAGAAGTAGTTAATCGAGGTTTAATTATCGAAGCACTAAAACTTAACCTGGAATGGGTAAGTGAGGCTTAATTGTGTCAATGAGCTATCACAGGAATCATGTCAGTAGGGTGGCGACCAGAACAACACAGTCGGCAAGAAGATTATCTCTCACTAAGGAAATTATTTTTTCTTTTCTTTTTTTAAAATCTTTTTATTTATTTTTGAGAGAGAGAACGAGCAGGAGAGGAGCAGAGAGAGAGAAGGTGACACAGAATCTGAAGCAGGCTCCAGGCTCT